TATCTCTAGGAATCATTATCCACATAGTTAATAGTTTAGAGGGGAGATGATTGTCAGAAGGTGGGTTAGGAGCAGGACCCAGTACTGAACGGATGATCCTGACTGGACTGAAAGACCCAGGAGTCAAGATGGTTTCTGTATCATCCTAAGCATCGTCACATGAACGTAAAATTGAATGGTTGAAATCATCCGATTTTTTGTTGTGTCAGACCTGCACAAGACATCGGGCCCTCATTCTGTGCTTGCCAACTGTATGCGCACATATATGTACAAATGCGCGTTGATTAAGTTAAAAATTTGTGTCTTGGCATTCTAAATTTCTAATTATTGGAATGACACGTAATGAAGATATCGCCAAATTTGAGCAATAATTTTACTTACACTGCAACCAATTTATTTTCTTGATCCTGCTGACCATTCATTCGCCCGACGTTGCAAGAAGACGAGGAAAACCTGCTAAATACCCATTCAGCGACCTCCACTAACAAAAGCTTATTAAGCTTAAGCTTTTAGGTTGAGCGGTTTTTTCAAATGGTATTAGATTAATATTGGCAAGTGCCAGTCAGTTGGTTGGTAAGGTCTTTTTGTTAGAGGTAGTAGAAATTTGGGATTGAATTCTGCTTACATTTCCATTGGTTTGGGGGTAGGTTATGCCCCTATCTCCGAATTGTATAGCCCTTCAAAGGATGCCAAAAAGAAATATAATATTGGATAAATTTCTTAAATTACGTTTAAGATTTAGTTAATTGACTAAGTGTTTCCTTATTGTTTAAAAATCGGCTAACACTACCTCTACATCAAAACTCATAGGCACATGACATATAATTTTTTTAAAAACCCAATTTTACCCTCCACCTTTGACCTCCCCCATTTCATTTTACCCTCCACCTCCGACCTCCTCCTCTTTTTCTCTCCTTTACCCAATGTTACCTTCATCCCCTTCCTCCTCCGACCTCTCTTTATCCTCCCTCTATCTTCCTCCGATCGTCTTTGTCAACACTAGATCACCGTCAGTTTCAAATCTTGCAAATCATGGCCCGGCTCCAAGCTCTCTTCGATCCAATAACGGAAGCCATTGATGCATAAGCAACACCACTCTCTGTCTCTCTTCTTCTCTTTCTCAAGTATAATCAGTGCTAAACCTGGCTCTGATACCAATGATGAATCAACCATTTCGATCTGCTCATCATCCGTTCCAATCTTCAATTTACAAGAATAAAGAAATCCTCCGATAATCCAAAGAAGCTCGATCTACGCCAAACTCCTCCTTCGATAATCCAGTTCGAGGGTTTACTCTCATTTACACCAAATCCATTGATTGAGAGAGACCCTTGTTCAAGTTTTTTCTTCTAACCGAATCCACTACTTAAGGAACTAGGAAAACTTTATCTTCTTCCGATCTTTTTCTTCGATTCAATCCAAGGGACCACCTGCAAAATAAGGAGCAACTACTCTTGTATAAGCCCTTCTTCAAAATCAGATCACATGGTCAACAGCTATACCTCACCATATGCCCACCAGGGATAAGCATGTGGGATTGCTCTAAATGTATTTTAGTAGTGATTTTCAAATCTATTTTTGTCTTCTCTCGTTGACGGTATTTGCAGGATGGGCACCAGTTGGACAGATCAGCTTGACCGGATTACTGTAAAGAATCTGCAAGTAGAAAAATGAGATGAAACTAATGCAAAAGTTAGGATACTGTTACTGGGTTTGTCTTCAGGTTTTTCCTCTCTAAATAAAGAGTTGGGTGAAATTTGTTTCAGCTTTTAGTGTGAAGGCCATTTTTTTCCTCCTTTTATCTTGTTGGTAGGTAAATGGTAATTGTTTGCTGTTGGGAGTACAACTTTGGCTATGGTTGTGGTTGGACATTGTTCTACATTGTTATTCTATGATTATTTCTTAATCTTCTAATGTCAACAGATCTATTTGGCCTGGGGAAGAACTTTGCAATGCTCATCTTCAAGGATGGAAGGAAGAAGGTTGTATTTTTTTAATTCATACACATGTAATTATTTTGGAAGAGAAGTTTTGACACGTACCTAAAGACATTGTGCTTAGAATATTATTTGTTCCAATTCAATTCTCAATTGATTGAGTTTGATGTTAAGTTGTTGGCAAATTCATTTCTAAGATACAACTGAATCTTAGGTGAAAAACTGCAATCAGTAAAATTGAAGAATATCCAACAAAAAAAAAAAACTTTCTATAAGACATTAACAATTTTATTGAAAAAAAGGTGTGTTTGTATAGTGGAGATAAATGAAACTTGTGTGCAAAATTGGCTTGATTTATACATTTTTATAAATTTTGGAGAGTCGTCATGAATAGAGGTGTGCCCTTCTGAAAAGGCTCTCTGTAAATTTGTATAGTCACGAATTCAAACTTTGTAGTTATTCACAGTTAATGGCTGTTAATACTTGATAAATTCTCTTGACCACACCCGATCAAAGTGTGACCATCAGATCAACTTAAAACGTTAATATCATGGTTCGGACTCCTAAAAGCTTGAATACACCTTTATATGCAATTTAGATCAGATGCGATTTAAAATGCATGTATAGATGTACTCTATTATGTAATTATTGAATCAAATACTCCATTAGATTTAATCTGTAATGAGAAATCCGGTATTGATAGTAACTAGTAAATAATGTTGAAATGCAGTACAAGGATCCATTGATATAAGGCATGCATTATTTGACCTAATATTTTGTGCAGAAATAACTTTTATGTTAGAATTGAAAGAATGTTGCATTTATATGGATAAGAACGGTTGGACATGAGCTGAAACCGACTAGAGTGATATAATATAATAGAGCTGTGAGTTTGTCAAATGATATCCTAATGATACCAGTACGGCAATATAATACTCTTTCGTGACAACATTTGCTGAACCCTGCACATCAACGGGATATTAGATTTGGAAAGGCATCCAAATGTCTTGTCTTGTTGCGGATTCATTGAATTTCTTTAAATATTAAGAAACTAGTGGTGGTAGATCGTGAACCAGTCCATTATGAAGCGATTGCTGCCAATAGAGTTTTTATTTTTTTTTCCCCTTTGGTTTTTATTTTATTTAATAGCAAAATATCCATAGCAGGGGTTAGGGTGTGGATTCTCTCCATATCTTTGAGAATTCCAATCACTGTCTATCATATCGTGTAGGTCCCATTTTTATTATTTTTTAATGGAAAAGCCGTGTAGGTCCCATTTTTAAACTGTATTCGTCCTTGGGGTTTAGGGTTACTACTCATATACTCGGAAAAGCTTTATACGAAGGGCTAAGTGGGGATAAAATGCTTTTAAATTTCATGAAGAAAGACGTTCAGTATTAAATGATGTATTGTGATATGTCTAAGAGTTGTAGTAGTTGGTTTAAGGGAAACCAGACAAGCTTATTCAAGCTCTGAATTCCACAATTTCGTAAGCTTTACGGACTTAATTTGCACTTGCTTTAAAATGCAAATTGGCATTATAAATAATAAATAGGTGTAGAAATGGTGGGTTTTGATTAAGAAACGCCAAGCCAAACACAAGGTGCATTTACATTTTGACATTTCCCAAAGCGGTAGCAGCAGCGGGTCTGGTCTGTCTGGCTTATTTAATGTACCCTTTTACATTTGACATTTCTCTTGTTTGCACATGCAACGCCTTAATGGTGCTCGATTTGCTTCATCTCCATGCCTTGTTCGAAATATATATCCACAAGCTACTTAAATTGATAAATTCCCCCACCAGTCCACCACCACCACCATACCATAAAGAAACTAGCCAACGAAAACCACGCGGCTCCTCGTTTGTTTGTGGATTGAGTTGAGACTCTTCATGTGAGCTTGACATGACCTTGCACAGAAAAAGAGTTTAGGAAATGTTTGGTCCCACTCCCATGATCCCATCCCATATAATTCTCATCGTCGTTGCATAACAAAGCGGGAATGGGAATTCTGTTAATAGAATCGTGACCACACAGACAGAGAGATTAGAGAGAGAGTAGAGACTACTAGCCAGGCCCATTTAAGAACTAAGCCTATACAAATCTTTCATACGCCGCGTTAACAGACTTCACCAATCACCACTAGAATAAAAAAAAAAAAGATTAGGCAACTCTCAGCCCAGCCCAGGCCCAGAACGTCGTGAATATAATATATTAATCCCTAAAGTTTATGAAATTTACTCCCTTACTTTAACGACAATGCCAAGCCAACCAGGCCCATACTCCGCAGCACCAGAATCCGAGTGAATGTCTATGTAGTAAGTGTTTGACCTGACACTCCCCTCCTCTCATCACTCATCTTGTACTTACTTCAAGGCAAAAATATTCACCGACCCAATTTCCAATAACCTAGAAATTATGACTTTTAATTCGAAATGGTACAGGTGTATGGTGTATCCCATCTGGACCGTCGAGATCCTTGTTCTTTCATCTTTGAGATGTTGACTATTCAAATTAAAAGAACTACTTGTAAGTAAGGAAGATGCCCCCGTGATTTATTTTATGAATTATGAATTAGTAGCCGAGTGGCACGTGCACTCTACCAAAAAGGGAGAGTCGGATTGGACACTAATTAAAAAAAAAGGAAAGCCTTGAGTAGGTGGAAATTGGAAAGACAAACGGGGGCATATAAGGAAAACAAAATATATTCCAACTTGGAGGGTTTTTTCTTCTTTTCTTGAAGGGTTAAAAGTGAATCTGAGATCAAGCTTTTGTGCTTTACCTTGAGAGTTGAGAATTGAGATGCTCGTTCGTTGTCGACTTGTCGTTAGTGTACTGTAGTACGTCGTTAAATTTAGTCAAACACCGTGGATCTCGATTCTCGAAATCTGCTGCATTTTGAAGTTTGAACAAAGCACTCGTTGACACGTACTCAATTTCAAAGTATTCAACGCCAACCGCGTACTGAAACCCGCGAGCTATTTGCTATGATAGCTTGCGAGGCAGAGGATCAGGATTCCTTTTTCTTTATTTTTCCCATCTAGACTAGATGTGGGAATCTCACCGTCTTTCTCTCTCTCTGTCTCCCTTTCTGTGTACTCGGTTATTGCTCTGGCTCTGCAAGTTCCAGACTTCCAGTCCTTTTGATTCCTTTACAACTCACAACCCTCCAATTAATTTCAATGTAAAATAGCCAAAGCTTCAGCCTTGGTCACAATGGTCTTCTTCTTCTTCTTCTTCTTTTTTTCCCTGATAATTGCTCCGTAGTATAAATCCTGCTCCACGGCTCCATTCTTCTGATCATTGTCCGTCAGTATTTACCTTTTCCAGTGTTCAAGTATCGTATGAATCTGAGACTCACTTCTGCTAGAAAGAGAAAGGAAGCTAGCTTTCCACTTTTAGCAAACGTTTGCTGCTTTCTGACAGAAACCAAAGACACTCTATAGAGTTTCCTTCTTCAACTGCTTTACAAAAGCCGACTTTATGAGGTCTACAGTGGAATTCATGAATACTGTTCTTCCATAAATAGCAGTAATTGCCGTTTTCTGAATTCTGGCGATCTTTTTTCAAGGTAGTTTCTCCTGGAACGTCAAAGAAGAAGCAATTGAATGAGGCTGGTTTCGTCATCTTCATCTCTCTCACTTTCTAATTTCGGAAAGCTTGGTTTTGGGTTTTGAGTTTTTCTTCATCTTCTTAGTAATGGAGAAGAGTCGGTGTTCGTGCTGTCTGCTACTAGTAGTCTTCATTTTAGCTTCACTTCCTCTTTGCTCCGTTGGGCAGTTGACCCAATTTGAAAGACGAATTCTTTTTCGAGTTCAAAAACTCCTAGAGTTCCCGCCTGCTCTTCAAGGATGGTCCAACTGGACCAACTTCTGTTACCTCCCTCCGTCGCCGTCTCTCACGATTGTCTGCTCAGGTAATCACGTAACTGAATTAACCGTCATTGGAAACAAAACCTCCCCTTCCGTCAACCCAAAATCGCTTCGAGGGAATTTCTCTGTTTCCGATCAAACTCTCTCTGAGCATTTCTCAATTGATTCATTCGTCACCACCATTACCAAGCTTTGGAGATTGAAGGTGTTGACTCTTGCGTCATTGGGGTTATGGGGTCCATTACCCGCCAAGATCAATCGTTTCCGGTTTCTCCAAGTTCTGAATATAAGCTCCAATTTCATTTACGGAGAGATCCCTCCCTCGATTGCCTCTTATAAGTACCTCAGGAGTCTTGTTTTAGCTGATAATTTGTTCAATGGAACTGTCCCGAATCTTACTAGCTTAGCGTTTCTGCAAGAATTGGATCTGAGTGACAATCTTCTCGGACCCAAATTTCCCTCTCTAGGAAACAACATCGTGAGTGTTATACTGAACAACAACACGTTCCAAACTGAGATTCCTCTCGAGCTCAAGAGCTTTAACCAGATGCAGCGGTTAGACATCTCTTCCAACCAATTAAATGGGTCGATCCCCACTGCTCTGTTTTCTCTGCCATCATTACAGTATCTCAATGTGGCTAGTAATCAACTGAAGGGGTCCCTCGAGACGAACATATCTTGCAGCGACAAGCTCGGTTTTGTGGATCTTTCTAACAACCAGCTAACAGGAAGATTGCCTCCGTGTATTGAATCTAATTCTTCGAACCGTATTGTGCTCTACTCCTGGAATTGTTTGTCCAGTGGGAACTCGAATTATCAACATCTTTACTCCTTCTGCTACCCAGCATTGGCTGTTCTGCCTACGACTCCAAAACAGAAGCACCATTCTAGCAACAAGTTAGGTCTCATACTCGGTATAGGTGGGGGTATAGTGGGAGGTGTGCTTGCTTTGGGCTTGTTATTATTTTTTATTTTCAGGAAGGTAAGAGCAAACAAAAGATACAAGAAATCTATGTTCAACAGTCCCATTCGCAGCTCCCCGGTACTACTCACTGATACAAGTAAGTCTCTTTTATATCCATGTATAGACTAGAATTCATGAATTGTTGCTAGAAATATCTCCAAAACTGGATTACGTCCATACCTCTACAGCTTTGTTGCTGGGTTTAATCTTACTGCAAGATTTGTTTCGTTAATGAAGCAAACATTTGTTTTTGATAGGGTATGCATCCGAAGCGATGAGGTTCGGAGCACTAGGGCTCCCACCGTATCATGAATTCACCTTGGAGGAAATTGAAGAAGCAACCAATAACTTCGACCCATCAAATTTATTGGGGCAAGGATTGAAAGGACAGGTTAGGCAGCAGGTCTCTGATAGTTTTAGTTCTAGGATAATAAAAATGAAAAGAAAGAAACATCTGGTGGTCTGTGTCATAACTCTGATCCCACTGTACCTATAAACAATGTAGGAATGACTTAATAGGAACTCTTCTATCATGGTAAGATTGGTTAGTGCCCATGCCTCAATATGTGCTTGATGATAGAACCATAAACTTTAACACCTTTTTGTACCCAGTAATAGAACAGGGTTCTTACCAAGAATGAGTTGTTTTCAGAAAGTTTTTCTGTCTCTATTTGAAACCATGAAGTCAAGTTTTGTCATTGGAACACACCCAAACATCTCAAACCAAAAAGGGTAATTAGAAAACTTGGATTTGAATAATGTTGTGATAGATATTTATAATTCCAGGAGGAAGCATATACAAGGAATTGTGGTACACGTAGCCATCCATCAATTCCCCCAACTTAACCCTTATGTTTTGATGTTTTCAGCTTTATAAAGGTTGGCTGAGAGATGGTTCTGTGGTTGTAGTTCGATGTTTAAAACTGAAGGACAGGCACTCACCACAGAGCTTATTGCAACACATGGACGTAATTTCAAAGCTCAGGCATCGGCACTTGGTTGGAATTCTGGGGCATTGCATTGTCACATATCAGGATCACCCTAATGCAGCCAACTCTGTGTATCTTGTTTTTGAATATATTTCAAATGGAACATTAAGGAGTCATCTAACCGGTAAAATGAATTCTGTCACAAACATTAATTTTGCAAAACCCACAAGTCAAAATTTTCTTTGATCTCTTGAAATTTTCTCGCAGACTGGAGAAAGCGGGAGGCATTGAAATGGTCACAGAGAATGGCGGTAACCATAGGTGTTGCTAGGGGAATACAATTCTTGCATACTGTAATTGCACCTGGCATTTTTGGGAATGATCTAAAGACTGAGAATATTTTGATGGATGGTAATCTCTCGGCAAAAATCAATAGCTATAATCTGCCATTACCAGCTAGAGTAAGTACAAAATTGAAGTTCATCATTTTTTTTTTTAACTTTTCATTCAGAACATGTACTAATTGTTTCATGTTTGAATGGGATCTACATGTTACACTAACTCTCTCTTTATTGGAACTTCCAGGTAGGTTCAGATAGCCCTTTTAATAAGCATTCTCTTGGTCATCTTAGCAGGTAAACTGCTTTTTCTTTTCTTCTGTCTCTTGTTTATTTTGTTTTCTCCTTTTTCTTTATCTTAATAATTCTTTTATAGCTGGGCCTAATCTGCTGCCCAAATGGTTTATAAATTATAACTAAGCTGTGGCCCATTAGCTTAAGTAGGTTTGTGTATGATCATGTAAAGTTGTATATACTCATTCGAAAAGGTCTGTTAGCTTTATTTGCTTACGATTTTTGTATGTGCAGTGCTGAACAAGCAGAAAAAGAAGACATTTATCAGTTTGGTGCTATTGTAGTAGAAGTAATTACGGGTAAAACAATCACATCCCAAAGCGTATTGGATGAATTGAAACTTCAGGTATGAGTAAATGTTTCCATCAAAGTGAGACATTTCCTGATCCTTCCATGCCTGCATCAATTCAAGTGCTTTTTGAAAATCATGTCATCATCAACAAAAGCAGAAATGATGCCTATCAATGCTTATTTTGGCTTTACACAGCTAGAGAAGGGCTTGACAGATGCCCCAGCAAAGCTACGAGCGGCCACAGATCCGGCTATTCGAGGCACATTTGCTTATGAGTCACTGAGAACCGCAGTTGAAATAACCACCAAATGTCTATCCAAAGATCCTAGCCAGCGGCCATCAATAGAGGATGTTCTCTGGAATTTGCAGTATTCAGTTCAAGTTCAAGATGGATGGACCAGTAGTGGTAACCTTAGCGGCAAACTAAGTGGAAACCTTAGCGGAATGCTTAGTGGAAGACTTAGTGGGAAGCTTAGTGGAAGACTCAGCGGAAACCTTGGTGGAAACATCAGTTTTAAAAGACCATGAACCCATGCACCTTTCATCTCCCTGTGCAATCCATCTTAATTCTTTGTATATTTGAATGATTTTCAAATAAATAAGCCAGACTCCTTCGTATTATTATTTTTCAAATGCCTAAACTTGTACTATTACTGCCTTAGTACAATATTATTCAAGAAACAAGATGTTGTAGTTATCTCAACTTCACTGCCGTTCAGTTCCAGTAAGTTCTGAGAAATCTTACCATGAAGGAAGGGATCTTGGTGCGGTATAGACTATATAGATTATAGACTACTGTTGAGAAAACAAAATGTTACATCAATGCTTCACCAGAACCAGATTGAATGCACTGGCACTGATTGCGCCATTTTCGCTTTTCGCTTACCCTCTAATTCATCTCGAATGATGCAAATATGCAACCAACCTCCAACTTTGCCCTGTCTCTGTCTGTTGGGTCTGTTTTCAATTCAACGGATAATTGGTGCAATTATCCATCGTCCCAACTCCCCAAACCCTCTTCATGCTTCACATGCACACGTAAACATATTCGTGTCTTCCCATCTCAAATGTGAAATGGTAAACAAAGTCGGATTAAGGCAACCAAGGAAGGCTAAAGGCTCTAGGACCTGGGCCTCGGTGGGGGTAGGGGGTGAGGGCACAAAACCGAAGATAGTCCTTAAGTCCCCCCCCCCCAATTACATGCCACCTGTTTCAGATCAGCATTCATATGGCTGGGGGTTCTCTCTAGAGAACTCTCCGTAATCCAATTAAATGCATTATAATCTGAGGGCTACGGTCTTTGGTTGATGCTGATTCTGATGGGTCTCTTCTCTATGCTTGAAATATGGAACAGGTGGCAAGTAATAGAGGTTCAGGCCATTGCACGTGTCCCATCTGACAAGCACTGCCCCCACAAGCCTCCCCAGGATAAATACTTAACCCCGCTGCCAACCTTTATTCTACCATAAATATCATTTGCAAATTGACTCGAGCACAAGATAGTAATCATGATACTTGATGCTGATGCATGTAATTGAACCATTGAAATTAATTAGAATTCAGAGCAAGTGATGCAGATAATGCCCTGTACATGAACCCAGACATAAATTTACCAGGTTTCTCTGAAATCATCCGTCCTCAAAAGGAAGCAAACATATACTATAATTGGAGTAGAATAGTTAACAATATAATGGTTTATAAACGTTTAACACTACTCGGGCATTCTCAAATCCTTGGAAACATTCAAAGCACCACATCAGGAGTGTCAGTCAGCTGTCCAGCTCTGTTCAACAATTTCACGTACTCTCCTGTTATACTCGCGCTTGTTCTCGCTGAACATTCGTGCAGCTTCTGAGTTCGCAGGTGAGTTCGGATTTGGATCACAAAGCAACGACTACAATCACAAAGCAAACATAAGTGAACTGGTGCATGAAAGAGAACATATCCCTACACTAATACCAAATAAAGGTCACATACTTTTTGACTGAAAAATAACACAAAGTATTGGACTGGAAAATAACACTGATGTTCCATGTACATGGAACCACTTTGGGCCACCACCCGAGTTACCAGAAAAGTTTCCTTGGTCAACTAAATAGATAAAAATGACAACAGCTCCGATATCTTTGATATGTAAATAGCTAAAACGACGTCCCTGAACTAAACGTAACATTTGATGACAACTAGAAATTGTTCACGGCTGAGAAGTGAGAATCACAAAAATAACAGTTCCAGGTACAACCACAGAGCGTATCTAGGATGTGAGGCTACAGGACCAACAGTAGATAGATATGGGTGTATGCCACGTGTCCCATATTACAAAGATATTAACCACCAATGGGTCTCGCACTCCACTGATATATATGGCAATTACCGGATCCAAGTTATTATAACCAATGCTCTAAATGTTGTATCCAGAGCTCTATCTGTTTGAACTGACACAATACAAAGTGGATCTCAAATTCTCAATTTCATTAAAAAGAATACATATGGCAAGTCCTGCAGCTCTAATAACCCAAACCAATGTTTTAAAAACTGACCCAGAACAGGAACCACTTTGGCCACCGGTTTTCAGGTCAGCGGTTCAACTGTCTGGTTTGAATGGACAGTTAGTTGTAATTTAAAAAATAAAAATATGGCCAAAAACCATTGTCTGGGTCAAACAAGTCAATGGTTTGACCACCTGGGTCAACAGGTCACTGACCAAGTCAGGTTTTTGCCAAGGAATGGATTAAGAGTGAAATGGAACTGGTTGTCTGGATGTTTCCGGGCCGAACGGCCCAACCATCTGGGCCAACAACGGTTCAAAAACCATGACTCAAACTACTCAATCAAATATAATTAGATGTTCCAAAGATAGAACCTAAACAGCAAGGGAGACCCATACATTCAAGAGCACCTATACATTCGTTTCCATCAAGGAAGAATAAATCTATTGCTCAGATGTATGGCATGTTCAGACAGGTTGGCATACATTTGTACACCATACTATGCTACACCCAGCTATTTAGTTCACTCACATCACATGGGCGGGTTTGTGAATATCAGATTTATATACCACTGGCATCATTAGCAGATGAAGGCTTAATGAACCATCCGAGAGGATAAGCAAAGAAACTGGGATTGAGCCATGAAACAAGGATAAGCAGGAGAGATGTGGTGCACTTGTATTGATGAACCCAAGAAGGGGCATGGTTTGTTGCCCAAAATATCCAAGTTGGTTACCTTGCTGGGAGAAAAATAGAGAATGAAAAACTACTACAAACTACTAGAAAAGCGTGCTACACTGCTATAGATGGTTCTCCTCTCGCCAAGGAAAGTTTACTTGTGTATCCAAAAACCATTCACCAACCATGACAAACAACACAACTATAGTGGTCAAAGATGATTCTAATATCTGCAACTCATTAAAAGTAGTGGAGAATAACCGTTTTTCAGATCCAATAATCATCTAGTGCTTTGCTCAAGCTCCTAGTGGTGGTAAACTATTGTCCTCTGTGGATTGAGAAATTTCTGTGTTTAATTTCATGGCAGACTTTGCCATCCCTCTTAGATGTTCTTAATCCAAGTACAATAACACTGAAATAAAATAGAAAATTTATGGTCACAGTTGAACTCAAAATTATAAGAACAAAAGATTTTCTGAAGCAATTTAGCTATCCAGCAACTGAGCTGTTCAGTGGACTCAGTTGCCTTTGTTTACTAAAAAGTCCAGTTTGTCATTGTGCAGGAACAATGGCAAGGTGGTCAGAGCCTCAAAGACGGTAAATGGGTAAAAAGATAGATCTAGGGGTGAAAGTCGCAACAAAACTAAAAGCATCTTTCTTTTTTCATCTTGCTTCTAAGATAACAACCAGCCCTATCTTTGACAAAATGAGTATGTATTGGTTACCAAAAAATAAGAAAAGAAGCCAGAGATGTGATGTAATCTTTATCAAAAGATGGAGTCAAACATTCACAAATTTTCAATTAACAATCCTCAGAAAGATTTAAATATGCTTCTACGACATTCCTACTTTTCATTCACCTATATACCTCATCATTTCCCAATCTAACCAAAACCAAGCTCCTTGAGAAAATTCAACTTTGTACATGAAGAACATTTATCAGAATACGATTGGTCAGCAACATTGTCAAGACACAAAAGCCCTTGTAGGCTTCATTGTCTAATTATATTTTTATTTTAGACAGCTGATGTCCCCGAGTTCCAGACATTTTTTTTTTATATTTTTCTGAAGGGCTACACAATGGGGGTAGCCCATAACCCCCCCCCCCAACCCAAGCACAGGCGAGATTTGATCCCAAGCCTCTGCCACAACCAGCAGGAGACCTTACCAACCCACTGGTTGGCACCTTGCCTCTGAGTTCCAGACTTAATCCTTTCTTTATTCAATTTAGCAAACTGTAATACTGGTTAGCTAGCAAAATTAATCCTCAGTTTTATAATTCTAGGGCCGTTTGATAACAGGGTAGAATAAATGCTTTTTCATCTGGAAATGAATACTTTTTCTATAACTCGGTAAATAAGGCCTCCTACAGGGGTTTGGGCTACCTTGGGCTATTATGCACTCTTGGAGCATATAGTTTCTTCAAACTTTTTACTAATACAAATCTGTCATTGAGAGAGAGAGAGAGAGAGAGAACCCTTGGAGATCGTGGTCAAGATTAGGCAAGATCATTGATATCATAGTGGAGCCCATATTCCATTGAAATGCTGTCCTAGGTCTGCAAATTTGATTGCCATGGTTTTTCATAGGAGAAGTGAGGACATCCTACTCCAGTCATGACAACATAGCCTACTAGCACGCCAAAGCTCCAATTCAACATCTTACCACTCTTAGCCTAGAGCGGAACAGTTTAAATAGAACTTAATACAATAAAGGAAACAAATTATATGAGATCAAGTGTCATTACTTGGATTGTAGGGTAGTAATCATTTATTTTCATTCATAGGCCAATTAAAAAAACTGTGAAAGTCAATCAGGCAAATCATTCTCAATTAACTCCACTATATATAAAGAGATTTAAATATCCACCAAACAGCAAATAGAAAAACCAATTGTACCTGGATAGATGTAAGTATAGCAGCTACATCATAAATGGGACTCCACTGGTTCTGTAGAATATCCAAACAGATACTCCCATCGGCATAAACTGGCAAAGTTCAAGATCGAAAGAGAAAATAATTAGAAATTGTGCTAGCTGAATAAATATCCAACTGTAACCTGTCTTAGCCAATGTAAATTAGGTTTCACCACTCAACATGAGGGAGAGTGGAGAGATGAAGCAGGGAAAAACAGAAAAGGGAGGAGAGAAGGCTTATACGCCCACAAAATATACTTAAGAGCAGTGTTTTAAAAGCACAAGGAGCAAGGGAATTTGTGCCTGAGGCGCAAGGCGAGGTGCGCGCCTTTTTAAGCAAGGCGCAAAACATTGAAAAAGACTAAAAATTTTAAAAAAAAGTCAGAAATTTCAAAAATAATGCCAAAAAAATATTAAATATAATGTTAATAAAAATATAAACTTAACTTTAAAATAAATGTTTTAAAATACCTATTATCTAAAATTAAAATACATAAACATAACATGTAAAGCATATTCAAATGAAAATTTAAAAATTTAAGCAAACATATAAAGAATTTTCAAGCATGTAAAACCCACAATCTCTTTTTTTTCCTTAATTGCATTGCTTCAAGTAGCTTATGTGATGTAAAACATATTGCATTCTTGATTCTATGGGTCACCTTTGTACCACGCCCCTCAAGGCAAGCCCGAACAAGTCTATGTTAGGGTTTGAAATTCTTATTTCTCACATAAAAAATAATGACTTTATAACTTTCATTGCCTTTTAAGAAGATATTTTATTGCAATGAATGAATGAACAACATTAGCAAATTGGGGGTTCTCCTTTATGTGAGAAATAAGAATTTGAAACGCTAACATAGATTTGTTCAGGCTTGCCCCAAAATGTGCCTCGCCTGTGCGGGTGCGCCTTTTAAATCACTGCTTAAGAGTCAACTACCAAAATTGCTTTTTCTGTGGCTTTACCCTCTTGCACTGGAACCTAATATTGCTTTATCATGTAGAGTGTTAGTTGCTATGCATGGAAAATGTAAAACCAAGCATTTAAAGGAAATGCATTGCTTCATCCCATGTATAAACTTAAACCAAAAGGGCCCAAGAAATTCCAGTGCTACTTCATTTAAAGACAGTAAATGCAAGAAAAAACTGAGGAAACTTTGCAGCATGAGATATATAACTAATGATATTTAATTTCTGGCTTATTACATGCTCCAATTAGAGGCCAAGAATGAAAAACTAATAGAACATCAACCTCGTCACAAATTGCATGATAGTAACATGTTTTACACTTCTTTCTCTCGACTTACTGTTTGGATGGAACATTCGAGAAACAAATCGCACTGTAGGTGGTTTATTGGGATAATCCTCTGTAAACTGAAGTGTCAACTTAAACGTACCTGAAAGATTCAAGCAAAAATATGGTCAAGGAAGTAAAATCATGCTAATGGGAAAGACTTTAGAAGTGGCAATTTCTTAAAATTTGCAACAACCTTATAATTCAACAGATATCAGCAAATCAAAACCCACATAAATGAATTATAGATCCAATAAACCCCTGCCCATGTTGAATTGTTTATACATTATGGGAATACAAAATAGGCCAAGAGAAAGCTCTGGGCCTAAGAATGCTAGTAATGATTCGGTAGTAGATCATTCAATAATCAACCTCATAAAAGACTCATTCTAAAGAATAGTTTTACATGTATGGGTATTAGTGGCACTTATCCCTGTATTTCAGGATGAGTGATGCAAACATAGAAAAGGGAAAGAAAGCATAGAAGAACAAATCTAGTTTTCCAGATTCCAATGCCGGTAGTGATTTCCTAATTCTTGGGTGACAATTTGCCTTAGGTGGACCAGTGCTTAGGAAAATGAGAAAAGCTTTTTCAAAAGTTCACCTTAAATATTGTATGTCAAACAGAGGGTTAAGCTTTGCATTATGCAGTATTGCAGTACATCACTTAACCTAACACACTTGGTCATCTATTTGTAACTAAAAAATAACAAGTCAATGGCTTATCATCTAAAAAAAACGTGAAGGACTTCACATCTCAAGCAAACCACAATAAAATAAGAGATAAGTTGACAAAGAGAAATGAACAATCTGACAAATGATTTAACATCCTCTTCAAGTCAAATGTGGGGTTCAAGGATTGACTCACCTCCATCCCAGGGAGTGTCATCAGGGCTGAAATGCAAAACCAAAACAGAGCATCAATAAGGCTGGTCCAGAACCGAAAAAAAAAAAAAAAAAAACAACCAGACCAAGATGTAAAAAAGCATTTCTACATCATACTTACCCAAATATTACAGCATGCCAAAGCATTATATTGTTGTCTTGAGGTGCACCACTGATGCCTGCAGGAGGGTCTTGCTGCAACCTTTTGAAATCCCTCATCAATCTCTTCCTTGCAGGAGTCGACATCCTCACCGCCTATGGATCTCAACCAGAAGCCAACCCAAAAGGGGGGAAAATCCAATATCAGAAACAGCCGTTCCAAAAAATGGCCTTTTGCAAAAACACCAAGGATGGTCCAGGAAAATTATACCCCATTCATTCCCCAATTAAAAAAGGGAAAAAATGTATCCAATATAAGAATGAGCTGAATTTCTGAAAACAAGCTATGGTCAAGACCTCAATTTCTCAAACTGGCAAAAGATTTGCTAGCTAAATCCCCAACAAAAGGCTTTTACTGATTATCTGATTACGAGTACTGTCCCAGTTACAAGAACTGTAACACTAGTTGTTACCAGTGGCAAAGAGAACAAAAGGAAAAAAAAAAAGTCGATGTAACATAGCTTTTTCTGCGCRAGCTATCGCTGTAGCTTACTTAACTCTGGAAACCAACAAGAATTAAATTTGATCCACATAGCTAAAAAACAATGAAGCATCATCACATGTAGAATACCTCGGTTTAACTAATATTTTTTAAGGATTTAACATTAGCATAAATGAATCATAATCAGAACACCCGGGATCCAATACATGAGCTTCTTCCCCAATCTAACTTAAATATACCAGAGACAAAACCAGGTCCATAGTTTATCAAAACAAGTACAGCCAAAATTAGAATTCCTTGTTTATCAGAGCAAATAATACAAAAGCGAAGGAAAATAAATAGTGCCCCTTTATTCTAAATGAGACTTTTTTTCTAAACTAAAATCACCCTATAACCAAATCAACGGAAATCAAACTAAAAGAGACGAGCAAAATCAATCAAGAAAAGAAAAAGGAGCAATCAATTGATAAAAATGTCTCACCCGTTATCAAACGCGGCGAGAAGCTTTGACACTTAAAAGGGTTTACTATTATCTGTGCAAGAGTTGGGGTTTCCTTTTACCGGTTCTGATTCTAAGTACGTATGAATTACAGGGCTTCGGACGATGAAAAAAAAAAAAAACTCGAAGAAGAAGATATATAAACAAAAAGGAAAGAAAAGATCAGAGAAAGATCTCCATAGCGGACGATCGACGCAGAACTAGGGTTTGATGTTTCATGGAGATGTGTTTGGCTTTTCTGGTCTAGTACTCAGCCGTCCCAATCACTGCCTCCTTGCTTCAGATCTGCCCCCCCCCCCTCTTTTTATTTTCTTTTTGCCAATTGAGTATTGTCATGACGACACTCAACCCTCCAAAATTCAAGTAAACGTACATAACTACGTATATATTCTCCCCGTCACTGTCATCGTCGTCGTGGTATAAAATTGTATACATGTAGCAGGTATGATTGTAATCCATCTTACCAATTACCATAAAATGAGAAAGTCTTTATTTTCTTCTCTCCCTCTCCTCAGTCCTCTGTGACAGACGTTGATAAACCCAACTACCGTCATAGTTTGGCTCTTTTGGATGAATAACACTGTCCCTTTTACTTTATTTGTAGCAGTATTCATTCTAGCATTCAACTCGAATCCCAGACCCAGAGTGTTTTTGTCTTCTGATTCATTAATCATTTAATCCCAAACCCAGAGTTTCGTGCATTGGTTTACCTGGAATTCGTTGGCAAAGTAGATCTGAAGGAACATTAACATGCTAATGGTGCATCAGCCATGTTAACCCTGATGCAAATGATGGATATTTGCCACTATAAAGCTCTCTTGGGAGTTGGGATGGGGAACACAGATTACTTTTGGCTTATATGAATTACAAAGCTAAAGGCAAAGCTTTAATAGGCTTACTATACACTGTCACCTTTTTTTATCAGGGAAAAGCATACCAGCTGTCAGATAAGGAACTTTCTAGATTGGCATGCAACCATGCTTTCAAGAGGTCTCTATTTATATTATTTGTGAGGAGATGTTGACAAAAATTGGAACAGACATTAACTCTCTAAGGCTAGTGGATCGTGGGTTGAATGGTCCAATTGGTGAGTCCCATCCTTTAACCTGCTAAAAAGAAAGAGGTTAAAAAAAAAAGGTTTTTAAAATCGAACCAGAGACCAAACCGGTCAGGGGTCCGGTTATTGGGTCGAATGGTTCGATCATTCGAATCAAATGGTCAGCTCATTCTAACAAAAGATAAATAAATAAATAAATGGTCAAAATCATTTAAACGGTTAATCGACCGAGTCAGCAGTTTATTAATCAAAATTAATGGTTTTTGAAAAAATTCTAATTTTGGGAAAAGTAAAATCAATCACCTGACCGATTCCTGGTTTTTCCGATCCAACCATCTGGTGCGGTCCAGTTTTGAAAACCATGAAAAAAAACTGATGAAATTTTATTAGAAAAAGGTTTCCTAATTGGATCAAATAGGCAGCTTCTCTACATAAACTTGCTTTATTCTACCATGGGATTGGGGAAGGGGAAGGGACCTCATGGCTGGTTCAAAACATCCATTAATGGGAGGAGACTTTTAGCCTTTTACTGAATTAGCCACATGTGCAATACTAAAATTTTCACAGTTCATATCAGCCATATGCCCGACGTTGTGTTGGTACTTGTCAAAAGTTCTAATTTTTAAGGTAAATTGTATCTAAAAAGATGGGTTTATTTCGCTCACATGGCAAAGTGTTGCCTCAAATCTTTTTCCATGAATAAAGGGTTCACGGAAAAACAAAAAAACAATAAGAAAGGGTGGTGGAAGGAGCTCAAGGGGTAGGGAACTATAGAAAAACTTTTACAAATCTTATATAGATTTTTTTACCTTTTTCTTTTACATAACAATGAGTAGCATGAGACTATTTCCTCTACGAAAAACGAAAATGCATCACAAACATACAGCAAATGTGYAGGAAAGAGTATCGAACTAATTCACTTTATTCCATCTTATCCACCTTCGTCGAATTACCCTATTTCTGCCACACAGAGGTATAATGTGGTAGTGGTAGATCAAAACCATCCATAGGTTGGGGCCCCTCTAAAGTGATATATAAATATATTCATTCAATCCTTTGATTCTCATCATCCTTATTCCCATTCCCATGCCCACCTTGTACCGGTGCTTATCCAAAGCAAGCTTAATGCACTAGTGTTGCATTGAAGATTTTGGCTACGTTTGTTTTGAAGGAAAAGGTGGGTAAAGGAAAGAATAGGTAGAAAAATCTTGAAAGAATGACAGTTCAGCCCAGGATCAGAATTTATATATCCAAAGTAATGTTGAGATAGGTGTTAGTTCAGAATTGATGCTAATTTATAGGTGARTATTGATGCATAAAGTGTAAACTATTAATATTTTAAATATTTATAATTCTATCAGAAATCTACAATATTATACATATCCATGCTTTTTCGAAAAAATCTTTTATATATGTAAAGATTGTTTTGTACTACAATAGGGGTCAATATATGCAACTCTGGGCTATAACATAGACAGCTAGTAGACACTCATTAAGCTATTCAAATTTTCTCGTTCTTTGTTGGGTGGGACTGTGTGGAGAGTGGGACCGGAGAGCATCGGCCCACCGTTCCCACCTGCACAAAGAGAGCCGACCAAATAGTAGATCCACCCCGGTTTAAGATTTGGCTGTTTATATTTAGTGGGATGATCCCAGCAAGCTTGGTCACCTACACACGCTTTGTAAATAGTGCCAACCCTGACGTGTTCATCACTCATTTCTAATAGTCTCAGATTTCTCAGCAAAGAGAGTGGTAGGGCTCACACGGTTTGCCCAGAATCTCAGACTGACCGCTTTTCATAAATCATCACCTCCCTTTCGTTTATTAGTCTAGCAGAGAAAAAGAAGAAAAGTTTGTACAGGAAACTGACCGCTTTTCATAAATCATCCATCACCTTTTCGCTTATTAGTCTCTCAGAGAAAAAGAAGAAAAGTATATACAGAATAGTAAGTGAAGTTAAAGATGACAGTTACAAAAGAATTATCGACATTAGAGTAAATAAGTAATGGTAAATTACAGATAGGTACTTTGGGGGATTTGACACACATAAGTATCCTCAACTTTTAATTGTAATATTTGAGTATTTAACTTTAAATAATAGATATTAGGTTCATCCGTTAGAATTCCATTCCCTCGGTTAAACATTACATAATGTTAAAAATATTCTTTTTATGTATTACTAAAATCAGTTTTAATTAATCAAATTTTTTCATGATGACTTTCTCACATAGACAGCAAATAATATATTTAAAATTTTTAGGGAAATTGTCTAAAACTCATCATGAATTTTCAGTATTTCTCTTAAACTCCTCACAACTTTTCAAAATGTCTAAAACTCACCATGTCATTAACTTCATGTTAAACAGACTAATGGGTGTTAATCTATTACCATTTTAACTTTCATAGATAAATATAAAATATATACAAAATAAATTAACAGGTGTTAATATATTATCATTTTAATATTTAGACATGAAGAAAGGATAAAGTTCAAAAAATATTTTTAAATATAAAATACATAAAAAACATAGAAATTACAAAAAAAATATAGAAATTGCAAACAAAATAAAAATTATTTTCAAATTATAGAAACTATAGAAATTGAAAAATAAAACTGAAGAAAAAACACCAAAAATTATAGAAAAATGCAGAAATTATAAATAAATAACAAAAAATATAGGAAAATTTATAGATTGTAGAGAATAGAAAATGTAAAAAAAAAAACAGAAATTATAAAAACATTGGAAATTATAACAAAACACTAAAAATGCAAAAAAAAACAAGAAATTTGAAAAATAAAAAAGACCATTTTCCTCTAACTCACCATTCAAGGGTAATTTTGTCATGAACATTGTTATTTATGCTAACATGGCCACCTTTGTTAAGAAGCATTAACAATGCACTAACGGAAAGTGAGTTTTGGAAAATAAAAACTTACTGACATAGTGAGTTTTAGACATTTTAAAAAGTTGTGGTGAGTTTAAGGGAAATGTTGAAAACTCATGGTGAGTTTTAAACAATTTCCCAATTTTCTAACCACGGCATTCTCTAGTGATGATTTTACTCCGTAGAATGATTTTAAAAATACATGAGAAGGGTCTTTTTGATATTATGTAATATTTAATTGACAGAATACTAATGGATAGACCCCAAGTGTCTATTTTTGAAAGCTWAGGTACTCAAGTGTTGCAATTGAAAGTTTAGGGTACCTGTATATCACTTCCCCCAAAGTACAAGGTACCTATTTGTGATTTACACTTAAAGTAATATGAAATATCCTTTAGAAGTTATTCTTTCAATAACTACAAGCATTTTCACCACCAAGATTATTAAAATCGAACCGGTCAGGGGTCCGATTCCCGGGTCAAACATTCTGGTCGTTCGAACCGAAAGGACAATCCGTTCTAACAAAAAAAATAAAAAAACGGCCAAACTGTTGGACGGTTCAAATGATTTGACCGTTTGAGTCAACAGTTTGCTAACCAAATCAATGGTTTTCGGCAAAATAACAATTATGGGGTAAATAGAACCGGTCACCTGACTGATTCCCGATTTTTCCAGTCCGATTTTGAAAACCATGCTCACCACACCTATATGAGGAATTCACATATACCTTTTATGTCACAAGAAGATTATCATAATCAAATCTTTTCTCGACTCCGACAAAGCACTTTTCCCCTTTTTCTCCTTTCTTTCTTTCTTTCGTTTGTTTATGAGTTAGGGGATCTGCTACCCCTGTTGTGTAGCCCTTTAGAAGATTTCAATTAGTTGGATTGAAATCTGTTGGTTGTGCTTATTTTGATTTAACCACTGTTTAGAGTGGGACCTGTCTGTCTCATAGTGGGTCCTAGTCTTCTTAAACACCAAGCAGCTTAAGAGGGTTCCCCACTTTTGTTTTTGACTGACTGTGGAAGAGAGTAATATCTAGACAAACTATCTTCAAGTAATATGTTGTTTGCTTTTATTTATTTGATGCATCATTGGTGATAGATACAAAATAATCCGAATTAACCAAACCTTTTTAAGTGTTCTACAACTAGAAATGAAATAAGCTTGTGCAGAGAGGTGAAAGAGAAAGAGGGGAGACCGGGAGAGAACGTTTAAAATTGAGTTCTTTGCTTTGTCTGGTTAAGCTAGCAAATACCAAATACTAATAGCCATGAAGGGCAACCGTCAAATGAAATTGAAGAAATGTTGAGTTCGATCATTGAATTGGGAAGTCTTGGGGAAAAGAGAGGAATGGTAGTCTCACTGATTGGCAAAGCAGAAAACCAAACTTCAGATATTGGTTTCCCTAGAAATTGACATATTTGACATACAGGAAATGAAATTTTTATGGAAAATTCATTTCACAACTTAAACTGTCAAAGCCAAATCAGTTTTCAATATCCAAAAGTGAATAAGCTTGTTTTGTGTCCACTAGGGGTGTCGATTGGACTGGATTTGGTCCAATTCGATCCAGTCCAGTGTGAGCCCATTACAAATGGACCAGGTCCAATCCAATCCAATGAATAATTTGGACCATTTTAGACTGGTCCAATTCAATGTTCAGACCGCCCAATTTGTTCAAATTCGTTTTAATTTAGATTGGTTTCAACCCAAATTCGGTCCATTGACACCTATATTTTATCTTCAATGGACTGGATATTGACTTAATCCAACCAAATCCAATATAAATTTATTAAGGATGGATCAAGCCAATTCAATCTAATAAATATTTTGGACCAAATTGGTCCAATCCACTGTCTTTTTGTTCCATCCAATCCATCCAAATTAATTTTGGACTGGACCATTGACACCCTTAGTGTCCACTCCATTCATTCTCAAGTAGAGTTTCCAATACCTCTTGCCTCCATGTTAATAGCCATTTTGGACAACATTTTCTGCCGGTGGTCTCGGAAAACAATGTCTTGATAAAAACGGCTTTCTTAAGCATAATCATATTCCATATTTTTAACCAATATCCCAGGAAACGATTTTCTAGATGTCTATTTCCATGTTTCTATTTTAATTTTTTTTTCCATCCAAAGGGAGTAAGTGGAAAATAATTTCCAAGGAAATTAGAAGTTTTACTAGGAATCAACTGCTTCTCATTTACAAAAAAGGAAACATTTTAGACATGGCATGCGTATTACCTTCTCCTGGGATGAAACAAAAACAACTAGAGTAACGAGGGAAAAAACTTAAAAAGAGTTTCAGCCTCATGAATAGGCTGAATTTAGAGCTACAAAAAGTAACTATTTGTCCAAATTCAGATTTCAGGCAATCCGAATTCAATCTATAGGTGTTTATCAGCTTTTCTTCCTGCAATAGTGTTTGATAAAAAAACTCTATGTTTCTTTCGCCCCAAATAGCCCACAAAACAGCCATTACCCACAATACTTCCCCATTGTGCCAACCATTATTCAGCCAAAAATATTAAATACAAAAATACCAAGCAAACAAGTTAACAATCATGATCATCATGCAGATGCATGTAAGTGAACTGATGACAATTAACGCAAATGAATACACATGATGCTCTATATACATAAACTCTTCTCAAGGATAAGAAACGTGCCAAGTTTATTGGAAATCGACTAAGTGGCCAAACACCCCATCCTTGAAATGGAAGCAAAATGGCATGATTCAAGTCAAAGGGAATTTTGAATTCAACGGTTTATAAATGTCAATATAATAAAAGGCATCCAAGTCCAAAGCATCCAAACCAAAATTGCTAGTCAGCCGTCCAGCTCAGTTCAACAATTTCACGAACTCTCCTGTTGTACTCGCGTTTGTTCTCACTAAACATCCGTGCCGCTTCTGAGTTCGCGGGTGAATTTGGGTTTGGGTCACAAAGCAGAGACTACAACAAGAAACAATTAGTTATGATGATGGCTGTATGAGGTGATTTAATTTTGAAGGCATTATGAGTAAGTTATCCACAAAAGGAAGAAAAATCCACCTCATCGAGAAAGTATTTTTCTTTTGATAAGTAGAGAAAATATCAAATTGGAGCGTGTTTAGTATAAAATGACAGAAGTACTAAAATGAGTAATTTTAAGATTTTATTGTAAACTTGAGAAAAATACTTGGATCAATTTAACTCCTTGCTCTCATTTTTATCAGTAATAATCAAATTTTATTGACTACAAGGAAAGAAATGTGTACAAGTACAGAAAGTGTGCCTAGCACCCCTTGAGTAGACTTACACTGACCCTAGCCACCATACCCTCTCCACCCTTACGAGTTACATTTCAATCAGTTTTCTATGGAAATATTTTTCTAAAATAATTGTTTCCTCTGCACTTCTTGTCTGGCCAAAGCACTGACTAGACTACTTATTGATCTATGAAACCAAATTAAAAATTTTCGCATCAACCCTGCCAAACACTTTATTTTAAAAATGTTAAATAATATCTGTTGATGAAGAATTTGTAGGTTGCTGATGGTTATGATGGCCGCTTACAGAATTAAAGAGAAGATACAGAAAAAGAAGAAAGAGGACTTGATCTATCAAAAAAAAGAAAAAGAAGAAGAAAAAATCCACTAGGGTTTATGGGTTATCACTCACCGTATGCAGATCATTTACCACATTATTGCAACAATACATATAAACTCTCTAGGTCATTCAAACACCATCTTGAACAAAACTCAAAATTATGATTCTATCTTTCATACTCTTTAGCTTAACTAAATAATCGATAAACTACTTAACCAATTACTCCAAAACTTGAAACATAACAAAAATATGACTAGATAATACTATCGGGCTGGACCACCCTACCCACCAACCCGAAGTGTAAAATGACCAAAACACCCCCACTATCCAAATATACAATAAGTAAATTGTCCAAAATTCCATATCTGATCACTTATCTCCTGCATTTTTTTTGAAGTGCACTCATCTCCTGCATTAACATCTCCCTTTCTTTGTATAATATGACAGGGACTTGTATAGATAAAAAGTGCATGTTAAGCCACTATAAATCCGCAAAGTGCATAATAGCCAATGTAGCAAGATCATGCAAAAACATGAAAACATGTAAAACATACCCTGTTTGAAGGTGTTAGCTAAGTGCCCACCTAGGTGGGCTAGGTGATAAGGCACCCTTGGTGGGGTGCCTAGCTTAAACGCCTTGACTTATAAATCAAAAAAGCACCCATCTATGTGACTGACTAGGCACCTGCCTAGGGGACAAAAATCACAAGGCAGGTGCTTTATTATAATATTACTATGGCTGCATCCTATCAATATGTGTCTTGACACATGCTATCATATATTATACATTAATTATGCTTTGTTTTAGGTTTTTACCATTGAAATATAAAAGATCAAAAGTTCTGAAAAGAGAAAAAAAGAAAGAATAAAAGAATAAAATGAGCTTATTCTTTTTTTACAGCTACTTTCTCTCTCTTACAATAAATAGAATTTCTTTTTCTCTTTATCTCTTTGTATATTTGTTAATGTAAAACTATAGCCCTATTTAGTTGCTAATTTGACATAAAATTGTCCAATTAAAATACTTGTTACCTTATAGTGTCATGTTTGAAATCATGAAATTAATAGATTCAAAATGCTATTGTTCTTTAGATATGATGTTTGCCATATTTTGAGAGGAAAAATAACATTATTATTAAAGAGCTTTGCCGGTTTTTCTATTTACATGTTCATTAGCTATCAATTTGGGGGCTCTTGTTAACTGAATGAGAAAGGGGTTCAACCTGCCATCAAATACAAAGTTACAATAGATCCCCCTGGTCTAGCAACAAAACCTTGAAGAACCTATGGCTATCTTCTTAATCCATCATATGGAAAATCTAAGAATCCCATGCAATGATGAGGCCATCAAATTGCATGGAAATGCATGCAGTATTTATTTCCCATATTTTGTCCTTCTATCCCTTAGCCATTATTCTGCACTAATGGAAGTTCACTGACCAACCCTCGTGGGAATGCATGCTAACTACCTCATCAAGCCAGATCCCTCAACAAATTCTCTGGATTAGACTCTCATCATTGACAATAATGTAGCCTACTAACATGTCACTTCTGATACAATCTCTTCCCAGCATAGACCAAAATGGTTTGAGAAGTATTGCTCTCTCCTCAAATTTGAGTATGATTGAAAGAAGAAACAGAAGTGCAATTCCATAACTTAACTGGGGTTTGATACTGCTAGAATAGGCGATGAAAAGAAAATTAAGGAAAAGATACCAAATTTAAAAACGTCCCACTCAGTATTTTTGTAACTCCCAACTAGTGTTTTAAAAGTGCAAGGCACAAAAAAGGTGCCAGGGCCAATTTGCGCCCGAGGCGCAAGACTTTTTGAAGCAACGTGCAAAAATACAAAAAAAAACTAAATATAAAAAAGTAAAAAAAAATGCAAAAATAAAAAATAAAAAATATTAAACATAATATTAATAAGAAATATAAACTTAAGTTTTAAAATTAGTGGTTTAAAAAACCTATTATCTAAAATTAAAATACATAAACATAACATGTAAAGCATATTCAAATGAAAATTTAAAAATAAAATCAAACATATAAAACATTTTCAACCATGTAAAGCCCACAATCTTTTTTTTCCTCAGTTGCATTACTTCAAGTAGCTAATGTGATGTAAAATATATTACATTCCTGATTCTACGAGTTGCCCTAATAAAATATCTTCTTAAAAGGCAATTAAAATTATAAAATCATTATTTTTGTGTGAGAATTAAGAATTTAAGATCCTAACAAGGACTTGTTTGGGCTTGCCTCAAGGGTCGTGGTCGGGGGTCCGGGAGCCTAGGCGCTAGGTTCAAAAAAAGCATACAATTTTCAAAAGGCGCATCAGGCACACGCCTAGGCGCTCCAGGCGTGCGTCTTTTGAAAGTGCTGCGCCTAGGACCTAGGCGAGGCGCCTACCCTAAAATGCCTCGCCTATGCACCTAGGCGCGCCTTTTAAATCACTGATCCCAACAACTTATCTGTGGAATGATGAATAGGAATTGGATTGATTGTTAGAAATTTTATTATAAACCAATAATGACCCACAATTTAAGTCACTTTTAAATTTAGATTTTTTTCTGCAATCTGCTTTCAGTGCCTGTTTCAGCAGTTATCAAACACCACCTTAGGTTATAGACTAGTTTAACCATGTGGAAATCCATCAAGTAAATTATTCTCATTGAGGAGGGTGACTACTAGGGAATCAACTCTCTAGTAATGTACAATTTGAAGAGCTCAAATGGGTAAGGTAACAGTGGTTACCTAGGGACTTTTGGAGTGCTTGGCACATTACCTTTGTATATATCCATTATTCTTTTCATATTAATTAATAAAGTGGACAGTTGCCAATAAAAAACATGTAAAATGGTTACCAAACAAAAATGGAAGAATCAGTTGTACCTGGATAGACGTAAGTATAGCTGCTACATCATATATTGGACTCCATTGGTTCTGTAGAATATCCAAACAGATACTTCCATCGGCATAGACTGGTAAAGTTCAAAACCCAAAGGATAGGAAGTTAGAAGTTGCATAAGCTAACTCATTATCCCAACTTTAATTTTTATAACCAAAATAAAAAATATATCTCAACACCTGATGGAGGGAGGAAAGCAAAAAGGAGGGAGGGGGAGCAAAAGAGAAGGGGAGATAGGAGAGAGAAGCAAAGAACAGATAGAAAGGGAAAGGGAGGAGGCTGTACAAGCCAGGAAGGAAATCAACATATTTTTGAGAACCAAGTAGAAGTTCTTTCCTACAGCATCTCTTGAATTAAAATCCAGAGTTGCTTTCCCTATCTGGAGTTGCCAATTAACTAAACATGGAAAACCTATAATCCTGCACTAAAAGGAAATGCACAGGATACCCATGTTTTTGAGATATAAAACTAAAACCACTATTCTATGTAAATGTATAAACTTGAAACCAAAAAGACTCAAGAAATGGCAGTATCTTTTCTACTCAAGAACAAAAAAAACTAGAGAAAAAATGTAGGCTGTATGTTTCAGCATTAAATGTGTTGAAATTTTTCATCCTGAAATGCTTGAGCTATACTTTTGCACCTTCTATGATGAAAACTTTGTTCTCCTTGCCATTTTTACCAAAACAAATAAGAAGGGGTGGAAAAAAAATTTCACTGTTAAAAGAAAAGAAATAACAGCTGAGATATTTTGGTATGAAAAAAATTTGCATCCGTTTTAGGAGAAATAAATGCAGCTATAAGGAAAAATAGCAGCACTATAAATGTGGTGACGAAAATGTAATATCTGGACTTACAAGCTACAACAGGTTTCAAGTAGGGACAAGAATGATAGTTTGATAAAAACTGATAATCAATTGATCCTAAATGAAATTACAAATGCCCATAATGTACTTCTTGCTCTCAACTTACTATTTGGATGGAACATTCGAGAAACAAAACGCACGATTGGTGGCTTATTTGGGTAATCCTCTGTAAACTGGAGTGTCAACTTAAATGTGCCTAAAGATCAAACAAGAACAAAGCAATATAGTTAAAGTAAAAGGATGTAAACATAAGAAACATTGAAAAGGATGCTTTTCTTATAAATTTGCAGTAACTTACAATTAAATACATAACAGAAAAAATAAACATAAATATGTCAATTGAACACTTGAATAGATCTTTTTACAATTAAACCCATTGCGGTAAAACAAAATAGGCCAAGTACAGGTCATGAACCTAAGAACTGCTGGAATCAATAATGGTAGCATATTATTCAATGATATACCACATAGTATATATTCAATAACTTGATTCCAGAACATAATTTCAGGTGCATTGTGGACATTGATAAACAAGAATATTCCTGATTTTAGGGTTGAGTAAGCCATCAAGCTACAACATCAATATAGTAAGTATCAAGCCACGATGATCATAAAGTTGGAAAGGAGTACTCCCTTATGCAACCCATATACCTCCAAATCAAAATAAAATTACAAAATGGAGTTTTATCCCCAAATTTTGGGACAGCAATTAGGAATATTCCTTTCTAAAATTTTTGGGAGGATATCAGCTGAAAACAAGGCAACCCTATATAAGATTTCAATAAGAAAAAAATAAATGATCCATCATTTACATGATCTAACATCAACTTCTAGTCAAATTGGGGATTCAAGAATTCACTCACCTCCATCCCAAGGAGTGTCATCAGGGCTGAAATGCAAAACCAAGATAAATGCATTAATAAAGCAGGTACAAATGGCTACCCAAAATCAATCAAATCACAAGCATAGGGGGGATGCTTACCCAAATATAACGGCAATCCAAAGCATTATATTGTTGTCTTGAGGTGCACCACTAATGCCTGCAGGAGGATCTTGTTGCAACCTCTTGAAATCCCTCATCAATCTCTTCCTTGCAGGAGTTGACATGCTCACCACCTATGGAGTTCACCCAGAAATCAACTAAAACAAATCGAATTTCAGATAGTCTTTCTCCAGAATAGATAAGAGCAATTGCTAGAACCAACGATTAGAGTTGCAGCCTACTCAGGAAAAATAACTAACTAAAAATGCAAAATCCAGCAAAGAGTAGGCAGTAAAATCTAAAATGCACTCTGGCCTCTGGGTGCTTAGAACAGCATAGTCACACTAGAGAGATTAATTTCTTAAATGACACAAGAACCTGCGGCCTAAAACASAAAATATTTTAAGCGCGAACTGGATTCTAAGTATCACCTCAATTACAATAAGTGCATAATCGGTTGGGGCGGATGAAACTTAAAATAAATGTTTTTCTATAGATTTTACTCTGAAGAATAACATCAATTGAATTGGAGCCGATTGGAAACTAGCCTTAAAATTTTTAAGGTTTTTCCTTGGTATGCATCATAATCAGATAACGAGAAACCCATAACAAGGTCTTCTCCAATTTAACTCGCACATACATAGGTAAAGCCATAGTTTATTGAAACAACTGCCGCTCAAATTAGGATTTCTTCCTCATCAGTACAAATAATACAAACTAAACGGAATATATAATCTTTTCACTATAACCAAATCAATGGACCAAAGTAAAATAAACAACAAAATCAGGAAACCGAAGGAACGACCACTCAATAAAATGAATCACCTGTAAGCAAACACGGCGAGAAGCTTTCACTCTTCGAGGATTTCAGGTTATCGAAAATATCTAGGGTTTCCTACTTTTCTTCCACCAGTTCTGATTCTAAGTACATGAATTCTGGGGACCCTGGCGCAGAGACATCTTCCACGTACATAGAGAAAAAGACGGGAGAGATCAGTCCATAGCGGACGATGCACGCAGAGAGCGGTTGAGGGTTAGGGTTTGGTATTATTTCACAATTCGCAGAGAGATGTGGTTTGGTTCTCTTGGCCAGCCGTCCTGGCTCTGCTTGCCTCTGTTGCCGATGAGAAATTTTTCGGTGATGAAACTCCGTCGCCCGTCGCTCAACCCGTCATTCCCTCCATATATTATATAAAAGAGGGGGAACGGGTCTGCTTAATCGGATCATTCCAGTACAAGGGCATGCCTTACACCGACTTCACAGAAGTAGATTTGGAATCGGAATATCACACGTGGAAAATTAGTTTTGTCCCCAAATTGCACCGAATCCGGATTTGTTCCTCACTGGGCGCTTCTCACACCGATCTTACAGCACATCTCACCGTGTTTTGAAAACATTTCGCATGAATAAGAAATGTACGGTACATGTTCCCGAGGTTGCGACGTGTTTTGAGATTGGTGAAAGGGGCTCGGATCTGCTAGTCATAAGCTGCTCCCACATCTCTATCTATAATACATTACAACTGTGCATTGGGAGATGTTTCCAATACATGGTGGTTGTAATCTGTGGGTTGATACGTGGGAACAACTTGTAGGACAAGAAGCAGAGTGCTGTGAAAGCATATCCGGATTCCACTAGAACTTCGGCTCCTATTAAATTTTAGCGATAAGCTTGTAACCATCTTTTCATGGAGTCCTGATCTACACCTCACACCAACCTCATGTTCTTGCCGCGTGACGGGATCTGTTCCTCACAAATGTGCGCCTCACATGCACATCTATTGTCCATAAAGAACATCTCTCATGAATAATAATAAATAAATAGAACAGGATCTGCTCCTCACACAGGGGCACCTCATATGCACATCCACTGTGCATTAGGAACATCTCCCATGATTAATAAGTACGGAAGATGTTCCCAATGCATGGTATGATATACGTGTGAGGTGCGAGTGAGGCCCTATGTGAGGAGCAAATTCGGTTTTATGGGAGATGTTTTCAATGCATGATAGGATGTGCGTGTGAGGAGCAAATCTGRTCTCCTTTGTTGCATATCAAGAACATCTCTTGTATTTGTACTTGTTATTCATGTTGTTCATGGGAGATGTTCCCAATACAAGGTGGGGTGTGACTATGAGGTCGGTATGAGGTGCACTCTATGAGAAATAGATCCCAATTCCTTTTCATGTTGGATTTAAAGCTACTTCATTAAGCATTGGAAGTGTGGATTCATCATCCACCATTAAATCTGATTGGATGTACTTACATTTTAAAAGGACTAAAAGTTGTTAGATTTAGCCATTTAGGTTTGAAAACTATGAATCCGCTTTGCCTTCGGGTTGGGGTATTAGGTTTAAAAGTCAGATTGGTCATAGTTTTACGTCCATGCAATTTAGATTTCTATTAAAATAAATTTTAGTTTAGTACCCAATACTTTGGGAATAGTCTCATTTAAGTACCTAAACTTGGAGTACCTTTAACTCCTATAAAGTGCCATTTTACAACACCATTAATGACATTACAATGGATATTAAAATTACCAAACCACCTTTTATTTGTCATAAACAATCAAATACCAAAATATGTTATAGAACTAATGACTAAAGGCTCTATATTGTTAACTCTGTTGGGAAATGGGGCCATTGAAACTTGGAGGATAAGCTCTGAAGTGCATCTGAAGACACTGYCTTTAGAATGTTATTTGCCCCCACTCAGTTTCGTTGAATTTGCTGTTGGATTATAGGCAAATCCGTTCTCAGGATACAACAGAGCCTTGGGCGAGAATCTACAACCAACAAAGTTGGAATCTCCGAAGAAACTTTCTATGAAACAGTAGCAGACCGGATTGAGAAAAAGAGAGAGAGAGAGAAAGAGATAAAGTGATTTTTGAAAATTGTTTTGTGTGTGAGCAAATGCTTGATTTGTGCTCCTTAAATAATCTCTAAAGAGTCATCAAGGTGTTAGTTCAGAAAAGGCTCTTTAAATAGTCACAATTTCAAAAATTGTAACTGTTAGAAGTTAGTTAACAGTTAATGACTGTTAAATTTGAATGGTGCCTCTTGATCACAACTGATCGAATGTGGGACAATTAACTCTTTTAGTAAGGCTCTCCTCTTGAATGATTCCTCTTGAAAAGGCTCTCATCTCTTTATCTAAGGAGTGTAAATCAGTTCCTATTAAAAAACCTAAAACAAAACTTGTAATTTTCTAATGTGGGACAAGTTAAAAGAAAAAAAAAATTGCTTTAGTAAGAAAAGAAGTTATTTTCAAGACGTGTGCAAATGTAATTTTTCATGTAATTGACCAATCAAACCTCATTGGATTTAATTTCTAATGAGATTAAAATCCAGCAAACTCTAAGTTGGAACTTATGAGCAATATGCTCTAAATGTTCAGCATCTATCCTTGATGTCATTTCAATGCTCACCTTTCCTTGTGGTGCATGTTATGTGTATACCCATGAAAACTAACCTATAACCATTTTGATTTTTTTTAATTTTTTATTTTGCACATTTTTATTTGACTGAATCTTATGGTTAAACCGTTCGATCCATGATTCAATTACCGAACCGGTCCGAATCTGATAACAATGTTGATTATTATAGAAGCAATACATTTCTATAGATTCCTTTTACCTTTCTTGCTTTGTAACAGAGTTGTCAACATTGCATTTACATCATAAAGGTTTTCATGCTAAAACCCGATGCGACTTTATGCTGAAGCACATGAACCTAATTGCAAATTAAAAAAACTGTAAGAGTATGAGGTGCAACTTAATGTACTTTGAGGTGCAACTCCCAACTTCACAATGTGCAAGTTGACGCTAGTGAAAGCTTTTCAAACCCACAAAAAATATATTTTTTATCAAAAAGAGTTTAAATAATTGGATCTTTAACATATTCCTATGTGTATTTTAGAACCTTTGTGGTTGTCCAAATTTAAAAAGAAAGAAAAATGATTTCCTGTGGAAACCAAAATGAAATCAAATCACCAAAAATGGATTATATTTTCCCTATTGCATCTCTTTCCTTGTGGTGAACATCGGAACAAAAACTTTAAGAATGTCTTAGGCCCTGTTTGGCAACACTCCCACTTGTTCCTGTTCTTTTAGAAATTCCTGTGCTAGAACAAGAATTATATTTCCTACTCGAGAATAGCAGAGGTGTTTGGCAATTTATTACTCGGGAGCTTATTTCTGTTCTAAAAAACAAAAACAATATTCGGATTTGTTCCTCATGAGCGGATTTTGAGTGGTTTAAAGATTGTATAAAATTTTAGTACTACGTAAAAGAGGAGATAGTAAGAAGAATACAACAACAGATATGGAGCAGATAAAGAAGAGGTTTGGCAAAATTCACCATCATTCGCCGTTAGAGGTTGCAGTGTTCACCGTCACCATAAAGCAAACATTGGAGGTTGCAGTTTTCACTGTCATTCATCGTTGGAGGCAGCAATGTTCACCATCATTGATCAGAAAGCAGACGTCGAAGGTTGCACTGTTCACCGTCATTTGCCGTCGACCCAACATTCACCTGATGTCGGAGGTTGCAGTATTCATCATCATTCATTGTCGATCCAACGTTCACCTTGAGCTCCCTAGGTTGTGTGGCGGTAAAGAGAAATCGAACAAAGGAAGAACCATAAGGCTTGGACTTTATGTTGTTGGGGGAAATATCCAAAATGCCCTCCCTCTCATGTGGGAATGTTGCACACGTGTTCATAAATAACCAAAGACGATGTGAGAACCACGCGTTTTTGGAAAACGTGTTCTCTCAAAGCGTCAATTTGTCACTCCCAATGAATGTGTTCATTTGGGTGTTGTTCTCACGTGGGAATGAACTCTCTCTCTCTCATGAAACATTGCCAAACAAGGCCTTACTTGCCAAATAACCATAAAAAACAATACTGGTTTTTGATAAATAGAACACATAAAAAACCATAATAAAATCATTTAATCTCAAATGGACTAATATTCTCTATTTCTTTGGGATGAACAAGAAAAAAAATGCATATTGCTTTGTTAGCAAATAACCATAGGTTTAGCCATTGCTTATTCCAAATCCCTTTCATACATTAGTTAAATAATTCTAATTCAATTGTAGGCTTGTAGTTGTAGCTCTACTTAAGATGCCAAGTAACCTTGAAACTGAATTGAGCTTCTTCCAATATCTCTCCAGTCATTACTTTCTTCTTGCAAATACCATAAATCCAGGCATCCAGTAGATCAAGTCAATAAATGCAAAGGCCAGACTGTTCTTTGTTTCACTACATAGAAGAATTACTAACTAGGCTTCCCGATGCCCACTTCACTCGATACAGAAAAAAGCATTATGATGATCATTCTTTTATTTATGTAGTAACAAAATATTACACCCCAGGTTTTTCTAATTTCTTAGTGTAACGAAACACCTTCTATCTTACACAAGATAAGTGCATAAGAAAGCAATAGATACAAGTAGTGTTTCTTATTCCTCTTACTAGAGAGTGCAAGTATTGTATCAATGCATCAAAAAGAGAATGTGTTTTTTTTTTTCTATGATGTGGATTTTGAGCTCACTACTTGGAAAGTAAAAACATCTGCTTTTTGAGGATTCTGAGACCCTTTTATATTGCATGGAGGCAAGCAAATTGTTCGTCTTTCTACATAACATACTTCTGTTATAAAAACTATGATGCAATCTCTAAAGTTCTAGGGATAATTTTCTTTCTACCTTAACCCCTAGTTTACAACCAAAAGTTAAACCCAAGGATAATTTTATTTTGGGACCTCTTGACTCTCTTCTATCCTTAGTGAAGAATGAATGCTTGATGCCATTTTAGTCATTAATCAGGTCAAAACTTGCCAGCACAACTTACATACATCAATGGAGAATAGTTGGGAGAAGAAGAAGAAGAAGAAGAAGGAGAAGAATGGAAAAGAGAGACTAATATAGTGGAAAGAGGAGGTAGGCTGGTAGCGGGTTTGAAACCCCATACACACTGATCTAGTTTAGATCTGACAAAGAGGACAATGAATAGTGTCTTCTTTGAAGGGTAGTTTTTGGATTTATAAATGTTTGAAATTGCATGTGACATTATATGCGTTAAATAATGAACGAAATACTAACAACAAGGACTAAACTGGCAAGGGAGTTCAAGTATTAATGGCATGCTTTAAAGTTCGGATACTAAAGTGAGACTAACCCTAAAATACAGGGTACTAATTTGAAATTTACCCATTTACAAAAGAAAAGTAAATTGGGAAGTAATATAAAGTCTAAAATATCTTCCATCAAAAAATAAGTTGTAGACACTAAAACTCTTGGACTGAATGCTATTAATGATACTAAATTCCAAAAACACTTTGAATAACAACAGCTAAGGACAAAAAGATAGATAACCACTACAACTTCAACTTAAAGAGGGGAAGCTGTGTAGCAAGGACTAAAATAGACTATTAAACTCAAACCCAAGTGATCTTTGGCTA